ACGCTGTCTGAGTATCTAGAGTGCACACTGGAAGGAGGAAAAGCTGTGACTGAATTAGTGCTGTGGTCAATCACGTGCCCGAGCTGTAACGGTGGAGCTGGGAGGTGGCAAAGGACAGTGACAAGTGTGCACAGGATTGCCCATTCATTGTAGAGAGCCTGCTCCCCACTCCTCACTCCCCATCTTGCCTCTGCCAGCTCAGCTCATCCTGGGCACACAAAGGCAAAGGTGCTGCACAGAACCCAGAGCAGCCCCTTCTTAGCCCATTGGTCCCTCCACCTGTCCCATGGGGGAAGATCAGTACCTGGGGGCCATCCCTGGCTCTCACTGGCACAGCCACATGCCCGCTGGCAGCAGGCTGGGCGCTGCCCAAGGTCTGCGGCGTAGCCGGCCCCCCGCTGCTGGGGCTCGCTGCCTGCTGCTCAGCTGTCCCGTGCAGCAGCCCCAGGGCTTGGGTTACAGGACAGTTTCTAACTTTGTGCCTGTCCCAAGGCATCAGGGCAGAGGCACATGATTTTTAATTTATGAGGACACCCATAGAGCTGTCACTTTCAAGGCAGGTGTTGAGAAACTGGCAGGGGGCCCGGGCAAAGAAAAAGACTGACCTCACCCTGAAATAATGGTGGCCAACATGGTCACAGGACAGAGAGTATTGACATAAGCAGGCTTTAAAAATAACTAGGTCATCCCGCTAGACTAGCTCACTGTCTTATACAAAGAAGCCATGAGGTACCAATTTATAGTAAAAGTAGAAGTGTAAACAGCTATTCAAGGGGTTGAACAAATGTGTAGCGTTTTGAGTCATTATTTTATTTAGCTTTTTTAATTCTCCTACCCAAATCAAGTGCTAAATCACAATTAGACATAGCATCAGAATAAGGCAAGTTTTCAGGGCCCATGTGTGGCAGTAGCACCGGACAACAGGCAGCTGTGGTTGTACAGTGGTCACTGTTCTGTGCTGTGGCTGAAGCCGCCTCACTTCAGATCCAAGTCACAGCAAAAATCTAAAATGGTTGTTGGACTAGATAATCCTCATAGGCCTCTTCCAGCTGAACTATTCCAGTCTGAATATGAAGCAAAGGTCACAAACAAATAAACATTTTGTTGCAGAGGAAAGTCGGTGAATATGTGTTAATAGAACCTGGCCTTAGGAAAAAAAGGAGAGGAAATCCAGAGAGGAAATTACTATTTCCTTACCTAATCCAAGCTTTGGAAAAAATCTTAAAGCAGACTGTTCTCCATTCAGATTTGAGGTGGGGCTGAGTGCTTTCAGACAAGTGCTGGTTTGCAAAACACACTTCACACCTCCTACGATCAGGGCATTTCGCTGCAATTCCTAAGAGGCAAGAAACGAGATTTGGCTTAGACAGAAACCTCAAATAGTTCCAGTAATTATGAGAGTTACAAGGCCAATAGTGACTTAGGTTTTGACATCTGCATCCACAATCACCTATTCCTGGATTTCTGGCACCCATTTAAATCCACACACAGTTGAAGAGTGCTTACTGCTGCTCCTGCCCGCTTCATCTCTGTCTGTCATTGGAGAGAAAGTGTGATTTTCTCCTTTACAATAACTCTTTCATACCACCTGAACAGTGCAAAGGGAGAGGACAAGAACAGACTAGACACTTGTTACTGCAGCTCTGTGAGAATACAGACACTGCATGCTCAGGAGCACAGAAAAATTAAATTCATGTACTGGTTAACACTGTTACTTTTGTCAGCAGTATAAGTTGACAGCAAAGTCTTCCCAGTCTTTGCTTCCTTCTTTGCTCCTAAAGGAAAACTCTTCCTCATCAAGCGCTTACAGCACCCTTGTAATTGGCCAAACTGTTTTTCTCCTCCAGGAGAAGAGAAACAAATAATTACAACATGGAAAACACTTGCTTTTGCTTTGACCAAGCATGCCTTTGAGTCAGCTGTCAAAGGTTTGTCACATGGTGACCGTTCCTCATCTGGGTAACTAGCGAGCTACCATAAAAAGTCCAGTATCGCTGGCATTAGGTTGTTTGTCAAGCTTGTAAGGCAGTTTTCTAAATCAAGACATCGTATTACCAGAGGTCAATAGATTGCAATTTCATGCTTGATTATTTTCCATACACCTTTTAAAAATCTACTTGTCAATTTTCAATTTCTCAACTAAGTCTTAAAGATATCAAAAAAATTTTCTTCCAGTAGGACACCCATTCTGCTGCTTTTGCTTGTTCAGCTTTAGCATTCTCAGCTTGTCACCCCAGGAAAGGGCAACGCTGTGTCCCCTGTAGTATGTTCAATTTAAATGTAATTTTTCCATTGCAACTTGCATCACGAGTGTAACTCCTGTCTTTTCAGTCGCAGAAGACTTCTGTAGCTCAGCTCAGAATAGTAAAAATATTTAAGATTAACTGGGGGAATAAAAACAAGTACGTATTTTAAAGCCCTTTTTTTTTAATCTTTTCTGGCACCCATTTTATAAGAGAGACTGAGAACAGGCCCTAAGGAGTTTGCAGCATTTCGTGACAAATTGTAATTGACAGGCCAATTAAAGAAGAAATACCCTCAACAAAGCAGAATTTGTGAGCCCAAACATCTTATTAAAGAGACAGGCCACATAATTAGCTTCAAATGGAATTAGGAGCTTGTTCCGTGTTTCTTTTCCGATAATATGGCCTTCCCAATTATCTGTATCCTGTTTCATTCATTTTGACTGTAAACACCTTTCCAATATAACAGATCCTTTCTTGGTCAGTGTGCTGCAGATGAGATTTGACAAAGCCATGGTGTTGTTATTCTCAGCTGGGGTAAACCTCTTTGGTGTTTTCCCTGCTGCAGCACAGCTGAGAATTATGTTGGCCAGCCAAATGATTATAATTTCCGGAAAAGTAATTGGGAAAAAAATGGCCATATAGAAGTGGCATTTCTAGGCATGTCAAAGAGCTATTATAGACTGCCACAGAGCAACAGTAGAGTCTACAAGGTGGAGACAATGTAAATTCTGAGATAGCTGTAATTTTCCAATTTAACCCTACCAGTAGATACTTTTCGTAGAATCTGTTCCAGAAAGATATATAATTCAAATGATCTTTTAGTTGCTTGGTTTGCATGTGTTACATTCAGAGAAAGGAAACCAAGCTGGGCTTTGATATCTCAGCTGAAACAACCCCCTGTAAGTGTTTTTGACCCTGCAGCAAAAAACAAGTAAACAAGACACACAGAGTATATTAAAGTCTTGACTCTTCAAGTTACTGACACATTTGGTGGTGATGACAGTCTAGGGGCAGGAAGATCAAATCTTGTACTTAATCCTCATTAGTTCAAGGCTCATGACAATCTTTTACCAAGCATAAATGATATTATCTCTAGATAATATCCATCTGACTGCTAATTATACCACTTGGTCTGGTGTTAACCTTACAAATATTGCATAAAAACAATATTAATGTTTTTAAAATTCCAATTTTTGGCTTACATATGGTTGTGTAGTTTTTCCCATGTATGTGTACCTAACAGGTTCTATATTCTTAGTTAAAGTAGAAGGGTGAGCAGCCCTGAGCCTCTCTAGACTTCTGCTGCTAAATTGCTTAGCAAAAGGTGAAATTAACTATTTATAATTTTGAGAGTAGGGAAAACTTTTCAAAATAATTTTCCTGAAAATGCACAAGGGAGGGGTCAGTTAAGTAGTTCTCACAATAGTTACCCATCGCCAAGAAAGCAACCCTGGGACAGTGGAGACACAGAGACACAGGGTCTTTTCAGGCTCAACTTCATAATTTACCTGTTAAGTCCTTAAGTAGAGAAGGACTGAATTCAGTGCTTCCAGTACTCAATGAGCCTTTCTTTGCCTCATGTCCAGAGGTAAGGATGGCAGGGGTGTGAAATTTGGTTTGAACTGCTTTCTTAAATGGCCAAAAAATATTTCTGGGTGAGCTCACTAAAAAAAACATACAAATAATAGCTCATTTTTTGCTAAACAGTTGTGAGTCAACAATAAACCATCCAGGCAGGTAGAAGTGTTGCATTTTGGAGTTTTGTACCAGACTACCTAAACATAAATAGACTCCAAAAAATAGCCAGAGTTGCTGGGTAGCCACTTGATGTTTCACAGTTATTCTCATTATGTTACAGGTTAAGTAGGTTACGTGTTCAAAGGCAGCCTACCAGCAGACATTTTGATTAGCTATTTCCAGGCTGAAATCACCCACACAGTTCACTTCTTGATAATTAATTCTATGCAGCACATGTATTGTTGCAGTCACAGAAAAGCTGTTGTTATGATCCTGATGCACTTGTGAAGATTATACCAAAATTTGTATGAAAGGGAGGATTCCATCTCTTTCTATTTTTGTTGATAATATACATCCTCTAGTCAAAGAGCAAGAGATTTAATTTTGGAAGGGCATGGTATTCCCAAGCAAAGATGATCACCGTGTTGTTTGGTGGAAACACTAATATACTTCCAGGACCGTGTCAGGCAGAAAAGCATCTGAATTATTTTACACATCTGCCATTTTCTAATTACATGCTGATATAATGTTTCTATATTATGTTGATTAAAATCTGTTGTACAAAAGAGAAAATATACAGTAGCCCATGCTTATTTTTGCCTTCCATGTCTAATTGACTTGCAGCATCAGTGGAGAGATGAGAACAGTGCTGCTGATTTAAAGGAAATTTCCCTACTTGCTCCTAAACATCTTTCAGACAGTGAAACAGTAATATTGGGTTTGAACCCAGTACAGGCTGCAAGTGTTCTTCTGGGAACCACAGCTCCAACTTCCCTAGTAAGGCTCCCAGTTTGCATTTAAGACTTCCCAGTATATCCAGTTCCCTGGTTGCTCCTGTAGTTACTGAAGCAACTTAGTCACTAAAGAAGAATTTTATGGAAGTGCTTTTCATAGTGAAAATTCCTTTGCCGGTGTATCATATTTTTTTCCATACTCTTTCTTTTCTTCCCCTTATCATTGCAATCAGGGATATTTTCAGCTCAGATTATTATGAGGAGAAGGATACAACATAAATATAAAAGGTGCTCTTCACCAAACTAGGTCCAGAAGATTTCTCCCTACCATGACAGACACCTTCCAGCCAGTTGGATGGCCAAGAAAATAATAAATCTGATCCATGCAAAGCAGATGTCCAGAAATGCCTCATTACTCACAGGTGAGTGTGGGATTCACTAAATCCTCATAGCATCCCAGGAAACTTTTTCTTGGCAGTCTTCACTCATAAAACTTTGCAGGTTTTTTATGGACTTTTTTTCTTCCTATTCCTTCTCCTTTTTATCCAACACTCTGAATTATTTTTTCTTTTTTTTTTTTTTCCTTTTGTACCAGCCCAGGGAATTCCTTTGTCCTGTCCAGTAGCTTTCTGAGGCTACTTTTTCCCTTTCAGTATATTCACAGTCTTCTGTGTCTGGAGCTGCATGGTGCTCAGTAACCTGAATTAGGCTGGCACTGTTACAGTTGTCAAGCTGAGCTTGACAAAAAGGATACACTGGTACTAACAAAGTAATAAAGCTAATTTCCAATTATTAGAGGTGGCTGATTACACCAATCTCAAAATTTGAATTTGACCAGGAAGAACATACAGAAGTGTTTCTACCTGATATCCCCAATACATAAAGTGTTCAGATGTTTAAAGTGTTCATATGGTACAGTGTTCAATGTCCAATACAGAATTAGTTCAGATGTTCAGAATTAGAAACCTGCAGTGCATGCTCATCTGCAGATATTTTCCTTCATTAAAATATTCTCTCTTTCATTAACTGCAGTAATCTGTGCTGTTCTTCTACAGAAAGGTTTGCCCAAGGCTCTGTTACTCTTTAACACCTCCTATATCCTTGAGGATTATGTAAACCGTTACCAACTCTAATTCAACAAACATTTATTATTAAAATTCTTTTCATTGAAGAAACATAAGCAAATGTTGTTTTGTTTTCTCTGGGAGTCAAATCAAGCTTAGAGATCCATTCACTGCATTGGGTAGCAAAAGGAAACAACATGCTGCCTCAGAAAGTCAGTAGCCTAAATTGCTGTTGGAAACTCTATTTGGAAAGATTTATGGGATTTAGAGAAATGCCTTTAAAAAGAAATCACTGTGGTACTGCTCTTTCTCATAAACAGATGAATTGATTGGAGAAAAAAAAAAAACCAGCATACATCTCTGGGAAGTAAGGCTTGGGAGGATGAAGTGGAATGGATATCTCTCAGTGGACATCTTGTAGGCTCACATTTCACAACCCTGTCTGTTCCCATCAGTTCCAGTTGCTAGATTAGTTCCTATTAAGTGTTCCATTTAACTCCCTATTAAGTGTTCCATTTAACTCCCTCCCCTGTACCTTTTACGCCACACTGCTCCTCAGAGGACAGCTTGATCTGAAACAAATATGACTTGCATAAAAGATCGTGTTTTGACATAGCCACATAAAAAATTTTTTTGCATGTTACAATGAGAAGACCAGTGGTAAAAGTCTCACAAATTAGAACCATCCATAAGATAAACACACAAAGAAGTTAAAAAAAGTTCGTCTGGGGAATTAATATGACAGCTTTTTGGAAATAGGAACAGCTATAGACGTGAAATAACATATATGGAAGTATCTATTATTTCTTTAAATTAAAGTATAAGTGGCTTTTTAATTTGGTGAAATACAATGCACCATTTAAATAAGGGCACAAAGTTGCACGTTCCCTGGCTCTGTGAATTACAATCTTCACTACTAGAAGCATTTTACTGAGTGTTCAGGTCCCTGCCTGTTCAAGAGCCCTTCCTTAAATGAAGCCGTATATAGCGATACTTAAGCATAGGTTAGGACCTTTTCTCAACTGCTATTCAGCCTTCTAAACTTAAAATACCTGTTCATTTGGTGCAGAAGTAATTAGCTGTCATCACCTCTTGTGACCTAATGAAAAGATAGGATTCAGTTTGGTTGAGGACAAAGCTGCTGAGGACAACCAGGCTGGCACATTCTAGTAGGGAATAAACCATCCTGGTCTCAGCATTTCCCTGGAAGCCTTTCACCTGTAAATCCCAGGGGCAAGTGAGGTCAGCCTTGGCTGCAGTAAGCAGTTATTGCCTCTCTGGACTGCAACCCAGCAGGGAAATTGAGTTGGTGGTCCCAGCCCAGGAGGTTGTGCATGGCAAAAATCCCCAGCATAAGCGATATCCTTGATGGCAGAAGTCGCATCAGAAAGAACCAGGACAAAATTAAGCAGGAAAACACATAGACCAGCATAGGACCCCACTCTCCTCTAAACAGCAGGGAGAGGAGTAAAGGGAAAGGTTTCTGTGGCAAGTCATACAAACGAGTAAGTATGGTAGGAATCAGTGACAGTGTTCAGACTGTATTTTTTAGATGCACAATGTCCAAAGAAAACCTGAGACACTTCTCTAGACAAAGTTAAATTTTGCACAAGGAGAGAAACAGAACACAGCACACTATATGGGCAACTTTCATCCCCACCAAAGTCTTATCAGTAAATGCATAAGTACTGCAAAGGCTATCTCACAGTCAACTTTTCTTTAATTCACCAGATGGCAAAGATATGGAAGGAAAAAGCAGCAGAAAATTTCCTTCCCCCACCTCTGAGGTAGAAGGGAAACTGGTTTATTTTATCAGAAAGATACAAAATGATTATGCAAGGACACTCAAAAAAATGAAAAGCACCAGCTATTAGATAATCATCCAGATCCTCTCCTCTAGCTGAAGCAGCTGTTCCCACATCGTCTCATGCACATTCCCAGCCACCTATAACTAGTTACTTTCAGACCTGCCTCCTTTCCCTAAAAATGACAGATGTCAGTGGTCTAGCACAGGTCTGCCTGGATTCATCCCCCTGCTGTCCCAGCCTCTGCCTGGCCACCCCTGCAGGAGGCTGTCCAGCATGGTGAGTTAAGCCTAAGATTCTCAGGATTCCCCACAACATAACAGCAATGCTTCAGAGAGTTTCTGCAGCTTGTTATGGGGGATGCCGTGCATGGTTACCAGAGGGTATATTTTCATTTAGTCTGAATGCTTGGCACCCTCGGACCGTAAACAGAAGCCTAGGTAGAAATAGATGGAATTATTTACTTACACTTCCAGTGATGAAAATGATTAGTCAATTAACTTTACTAATATACAGTATCTTGTGAGAAGATAAGATATCAACAGGCAAAACCAGCTTCCAGGTCATGTCAAAAAGAACAAGCCCTCTGATATTTAAATTGATTTATGGTGAACTATGACAAGTATGTAAATTATGAGAGTTCCCTTTTATGTTTACATTTGTGCATTTTTCTTTGGCTATTTCTGATGATAAACAGATTAGTGCAGCTACTTATAATTTGATATCATTGACAGGAAAGCATTCAGCCTGGAGAGATATCCTGCAGCCCCATTTTCCTGTACTACAAGAGGCTAAGGGAACTATCTTGGTAAATACCTTCAAGGGGAAAACAGCAGCTAAAATTGGCCACAATGACATTACAGGGATGTAATGAAAAAAGAAAATGCAGATGAAAAAAGTTTATAACATGAGATAGGTTCAATTAGTTAGTCAGTTCATTTAAGTAGTCCAGCTGGACAATTATAGATGGCTACCAATTCCATTACATAACCATGAAGCAATGTGTTCATGAGCTTCTATTTGTGCTATTGTATCCACCTGGGATGTCTAAATCTCCTTTCAGTTCACTTGCACACTGGAGTTACTGAGCTATGGTCCTGCATGCGCACCACACAACTTAATTTCTTGGTGTCTCAAACCATGGAGGTGCTTCAAGCTGCCTCCAACTGATTGGGCAGCTCAGGAAGTGAACATGGTGTGAACATGGATAGCCTTGACCAGAGGTTTACATTCATTTTATGCAAATGCAACTTCACCCTCTCACTGTGCACTTCACCAGCCTTAATCTAATCTGCTTCTCTAATTCTACCAAAAGAAACAGAGCCCTAGAGATTACAATCAAGCAACAGGGTTCCCTCACACACATATATCTGAGGGAAAATGTTTAAGGAACTAATTTTGCTAATGTTCTCTGGATCAAAACTGTCCCAAATTCTTAGTTTGGCAAAAGTCATGTGAGGAATTCTGTCACTGGAACTCTGTGAACTCTCCATGTCTTTGATTTCAGTGGGCTGTTCTAGTGAAGAGTAAATCTAAGTAATATGCACTCCAGAGATCTTCCTTTAGAGATTTCCTTTGAACATTCACATTCCATCTTTGGTGACTCAAAACAATTTGGACTGTCTTGAATATCAAAAATCCTTTCAGAAACGAAGGTGATTTACTCCAGCTGATGGCCAACATGTAGTCCAGAACATGAGGAGCAGCATGCCTATGCTTGTCTATATGACCATAAACCCAAAACCTGGCCGGTTCTGTGCATCCAGACATCTTTTTTTGCTGTAGCACCAACAACTCTGGCCTAGAATCAGCAGCAAGCATGTTACTTGGACCTGGTTCTACCCTGAACTTTTCTCATGTCTATAAAAAAGTTAGAAGAAGGTTCAAAGCAGTCTACCTTAGCACAGGCAGAGCTGCCATCTGCAATTAAATTATTTCTGTTGGAGGCTACTTACAAAGCTATCCAGTCCCTGGCATCCCCAGATATCACCTGTGAAGAAAACTACACATCTCAACACTCCCAAAGCTTGAATTCAGATCTAAACTTTGAGTAGGTTCACAAGCATAAAGGTCATCCAAAAAGCTCTCACCTGAGTGAATCCTGAGCATTAGCCAAGCACAGTTACAATCTTTTCAGGGTACAGGAGTATTTCTACAGCAGCTTTCACATGAGGGAAGGGGAAGAAGCAAGGCTACACTATTGGTTTTTTCCTTCTCTTACAGCTGCCACATGTTCCATCCAGTGACATCCTCTCTGACAAGACAACAACTTCACAAAGGTATGGCACAACTGTTGGGCCCCTTTAGACTGCTTAAAGGTCTGAGGGTCTGGAAAAAACCTGGAAACTACAAGGAAAAAAAACCTATTTTTTTCCCCTTTTTTTTTTTTTTTTTTTCTGTGAATGTCTGCCAAAAGAAATCGGAAAGCTTTGAAAAAAATTTGAAGGAAACATTTTCCACATACAAAAGATAATTTCTCTTGCAAGAGACAGTAAGAGAACCTCTAGTGACTTTTTCTTTAAGGATGTAACTGCTGAACATCAAGCAATCAATAATCTACCTATAAAATAAACCTTCTATGTGACGTTACTCCACTGAAAAACTTGCATTTTCCTTGGGTCAAATGGAATTGTGTATTGTGTAGTGTTAGCAATACAAAACATCTCCGCATACATGTTCATGAAGTAAAGCTGAGTATTAGCTATTAGATCAATTTTCATTATTTAAACCCAAAGAACACATGCACAAATACAAAGTTCTTAGGAAGGGGTGATGTAGTTAGACAAGCACATAAAACAGATTACTACTCTTGCAAAACTTTAATCTCTTGTATTCTTAAACCAGCCAGGATTAAGCACTTGTATTTCCAATACTTCTAGTAGAAACATACACTTGTTCTTCTAACTTAACAGTATAACTGACATTCTCAAAATTATGAAAATTTTCTTTCGGTAACAAGCAAGTAGCCCACATTGGTATTTCAATCTTCAGTTATTAGAAAATAAATTGCTTCAAGAAAACCTGAAAAACATTGCGGAGGAATGCCACTTCCTGGAGCTTCAAAACTTACAGAAACTTTGCACCTCCAACTGTAACTAGAAGCCAGAAAAAATTACCCAGGGCATAAAAAAATACATTTAATAAGCTTCTGAAAAAATAAGCTGTTTTGACCTCTTGGTTTGACCATGTATATAAGAGGAAGATAATGTCCTATTTTATTAAGGAGAGGCCATCTGAGAAGTTGAAATGAAAGAAGAATCAAAGATTCCTGTACTGTAAGAAAAACAACCATTGCCAGGATAATAGAACTTAGAAATCTCCCTTCTTTTCTTGATAGAAAGGAAGAAAACAAGAGCTTAAGTCACTGATTCCAAGAAGCACTAAGCCTTATCTGTTGACAGGAATATCCACACAAATCACTTTGGGAGGCAGGTCACTGTGTTCTGCCAAATTGCAAGTAACAGAAATAGTGTAAAATAAAAAAGTGAGCTAATCATATGAGCTCAGTTATCCTACTGGGTCCTGAGAACAGTAACTTGGAATGGGAATAAGGGCCGGAGAAGTACCCATTGTTGGATAAGTCACACAAAACAAGTCATGGGGTAAAAAGACCCAGCACCAATATGAACAAAAAGCAAACAAGATTAATTTCTTCACATATTGTGGTAGACACCAGATTGATAGTTATTAATTTTAAAAGCCAAATTATGGCATGCAGTCTTATGTTTTACAGATCCAGCTCAGCAAAATGTCTTATCTTTAGACGTGGGCTTCAACCCCAGGAAACAGTGCACTGTTTGAAAGCCTGGCACAATTAGTGTCAGAAATGAGAGTGTTTCAGAAGCTGAGATACATACTACTATAAAAGTGTAACTTTGCAGAACAGCAACAGGCACCTCTCCTCTTACACAGGGCAGCTGCTCCAGAAATACTCCCTTGTTTACCGCCAGCAGCGCGCACACAGAGCGCACGCCTCCGCTCCTGCACCGCGTGTAACGAGGGGGTGCGTGCCTGCCCAATCCTCCTGTCAGCAGATCTTCTCGGTTTTCACTTCTTCTTTGCTACTTTGCAAACTCTCAGCTATTTTTTCCTGAGCCGTAACACGGGGGCTCTTAGAGATTATTGCCATTCTCCCCCTGCCTGTCATACACCTTGTTTCCAAGTATGGTCACTATGAGGGGACTGTCGCTTGGAGCCTTTGTGGAAAATTAATGGCAGACAGGAAAGGGCAAAAAAGACAGGACAGATGGCTCTGTCACCACCACCAGCCTGATGCCATGAGAGCTCTTCAGTGCCTTTGCAAATGCCACTCTGTTCTACAGACTTACTCTGAAGTTGATCCAATTGCACCCTTGGCAGCTGCCTTTCTTCTTTTTTATAAGATTTTTCCTTGTCCTTTGACTTCCCAGGCTCATCCACGTGGTGAATTCAAAAGGTCAGTTTTTAAATTAGTGACTGGGTGCTGATGGTCTGAAATACTGTTTAACTATAAACCCATTGACATCTTGCTAGAAGTAGTGTTGAATAGTGTTGTTAATAGGGCTTGTTTACTTGTTGGTTAAAATCCAAATCGGGTCAGCTGAGACTCGAAGATGCAATGAGTAATCTTCTAATTCAAGTAAGCAAATGGAGTGATGTCACCTCACTTTATTCTTTAAACGGCATTCTGTCTAGTTTCACTTTCACAGTGAAACACACACCCATAGTATATTGGGTGCACACTGGTAGCACAAAGAGATGCCTCTCCTTATGTGAGTGGTGCCAAATTGTGGCAAGACAAATCGTGGTTTGGTTTATGCACATACTTGAGAGAAGATATGCTTAGGATTTTATGAGTTTAAAACACGATGAACAGGGTGAATAAATTGTGATGTGATACCAGCACATACAGTCAGAGTCTGCAGAGAGAAAGCTAATTCCTCTGGAGGACTAGGGTTAAAATCTCTAGTTATGTACTTTCAACCTACATAACTATTGTATTTATAGGAGAAGTTCTACACTGGATGCATCCCAACTTGATTTGCTGTTAGATAAGAACAATTTGTGTGTTTGCAAAGCCTGGCATGTTTGTAATTTTTGTTAATTTGGGGAAAACATTTCCAGGTTTGGTCAAAATTTTAAAAAAGGGAGAGCTAGCCTGATGACCAGAAGAGAAGTGCTATGATGTGATTCAGGGTGGAACCTTTTGTCTAAGTGTGAAAATGTGTAACAGTCCCAAATTTACCGACAGTATTTAACTGTGGCCACTTGGTGTGAGGGAATGCCTGAGATCTTGAATACTGTGAGAACATTAATGGGAATTCTGAGGCAGAAGCAAACCAACCATCTTTCACAAGGGATTCTTGCCATTCCTGTATCTCTGAAGGTGCAGGCATTTTCCCTAATACCAGGTATAGCTCTGGCTTGACGCTAGCTTTTCCCATGGTGGTTTTGTGTTGCACACCAACACTACTGAGTACTGGAAAGTTCTTTGCTGGAAACCTAGTGACAGATTGCTTTCAGGAAGTCAGCTGACACCCACCTACTGCAGTGGAAAGAGCTTTCTCTATTATTGTGACTCTGGAGGGAGGAGTATTGCCATCATACCACTACATCATGCATAGTCAACAATGTCATTCCTTAGGGAAAAGCCTGCTATTGCACATGCTCAAATTTTGTTTGCCTAATCAAACTAATCTTCAAGACTGATTCAATGAAATGTTACAATGTTGAAGTTTTAATATAAAATGAAGATCCAATCTGGGCAAAAAAAAATTACTCATTCTGTAGCAACAGGTTACAACTATGCCTTAATATGAAGTATTAAAAGAATCTACAGGATCTGCCTTGAAAATGGACCTGAAATAACTGAGCTTGCTATGTCGTAGTACAGAAGCTGCCAGCACCAAGATTTATTACTTTAATACACATATCAAAGACTATCACTTTGTGATCATCTGCAACAGGGGTAAACCCTGTTTTTATGAAAACAGAAGCTGAGCAAGGAATGTAGCAACAGGATTTCAGGACTATTAAGGGTAAAGCATTCTTCCTATCATAAGGATGTCTGATTACTTTTCTAGATTCACCTGAATCATTCAGTATTCCTCCTGGTTTTTTGAGCAAGAAGAAGATGTAGCTGAGTTACACTGTTTCCATCAGATCTTATGTCTTCTTTGTATTCAGACAGATTAGGATGAGAATGAATTTTGTCATTTGCATTTTACGAGGCAAGACAATGTAGAGTGACAATGTCACTTATGAAGTTAAACAGGGAAAGGTGCAAGTCATTTTATGCCGAGATGTCTGTTTTAAAAAAGGTGGTCCTATCTCATCTGGGCTTCAATGATAAGTCCGTGCTCAATGCCACGAACAATAAACACACTGCTCAGATGCAAAGCATGCTGTAGACATCACTGCTGAATCTGTTGTAACAGCATCCCATAGTTATCCACTTCCAGGCCTGGAAGCACCTGTTTGTGTGTTCTGCGTCCTATCCTAATTTTAGTCAGAGTCTGAAAGCAAAAAAAGATTGCTGAGAAAGGCATAAAAACCTAACTGCTGTCCAGTATTCACACTTGGAAGTGGATGTGCTGAATATGGGAGGTGCCCTGCCACAGTCCTTCATGAAAGAACTTTAAACTGTGAATGTAGGTGTGATTTCACATCTTACATTGATGAAACAGGCAGCTTCCACACTCCCTAAACTCACTGAGGGTCATCATCTTTGTCTTTTTCATGATGGAATAGCTTATCTACCTTCCTTTCCTGATATGTCTCATGATCCCTGTTCCTCTTCCTTCTCATTTTTCTTGAAACTTTCCCCAACACATTACCCCTACTCCCCCTCTTTGACTAAAGTATTCTGTCCTTCCTTTGCCCAGCTGTATGACCCTGGCCTAGATTTGGCATTTCTACTTGTTGTCCTTGCAGAATACAAATAATAAAATGTTGTCAATAGAAGACAAGCATGGGACTTCTGTTTTTGTACGTGGAGGCTTTTGTCCGTGTTTCCACCTGCTAGATATCACTTAGACATATCAAAATGCATCAGATAATTTCCTACTATTACATTTCCTTGTCAACAAATGCTATAATCCCCACATGAAAGTTATGTCATGATGAATGGGAAGGAAGAGCCCTCTGTAATCTTCATGGGAGGACAGACACTGTGCCATTCCTTAGTTTCTCTTTCATGTCTCAGAGGCGTGGCCTCCTCGGCAATGTTTAATTCTTACTTTGTGTTCCCTTTTTATATGGTAATAATTATATGTCACCACCATGAGATCTCAGGAGATGG